CCCCCCCTTATCTCTCCAGGGTGGGACCGTGATCGGCAGTGCCCGCTGCAAAGCCTTCACCACCCGCGCAGGCCGGCTGCGGGCCGCCCGTAACCTGGTGGAGCACGGTATCACCAACCTCTGCGTCATTGGCGGGGACGGCAGTCTGACAGGCGCCGACATCTTCCGCTCCGAGTGGGGTGGGCTGCTGGAGGAGCTGGTCCAGGACGGTGCGTGAACCCCCCCATCCCCAAAATCCCCACATGGATAGAGTGAAAGCATTCAAGGGGTGTTGAGGTCCAGGGGTCTACCCCATCACTATGACCCCCAGGGAGGGCTGGGCTCCTCCGCTGCTCTGCAGGATCTGGCCTATGCTGGGAGGGGACAGGAGCACCCTAAAATAACCAGTGGCGTGGCCATCCACCCCACAGGGCAGATCAGTGAGGAGGTGGCACGGGAGAACTGCCGCCTGAACATCGTGGGGCTGGTGGGCTCCATCGATAACGACTTCTGCGGCACTGACATGACCATTGGCACTGACTCGGCGCTGCACCGCATCATGGAGGTGATTGACGCCATCACCACCACGGCGCAGAGGTGAGTGGGCTGGGTGCTGGATGCCAGCCCACCCCGGAGCCTGGTACTGACCCTCCTTCTCCTCCCACCTGTGTCCTTGCAGCCACCAGCGGACATTCGTGCTGGAGGTGATGGGCCGCCACTGCGGGTAAGCCCCCCACGGGTGGGGAATCCCGTTGGTGGGATGAGATGTCACGTTTCGGGGGCGGTGCCGGTGCTGCCACCACCATGTCCCCCCAGGTACCTGGCACTGGTGTCCGGCTTGGCCTCAGGTGCTGACTGGCTGTTCATCCCTGAATCCCCTCCGGAAGACGGCTGGGAGGACCTCATGTGCGAGAGGCTCGGGGAGGTGAGAGAGGGAGTTCCTACGGTCCCATCCCTTTTCTCCTGAGAGAGTCCCCGCAGGGGCCCAGGCTGAGCCTCACGGCAGGTGCCCGGCCCCTGCGAAGCTTCAGGAGCTCCCACCATTGTCCCTGTGAAATGGGGCACTCAGCCAAGCACAAATCCAGCCCTCGTGTGCCAGGAGCAGTGCTGGCTTGGGGGCTTGGCCGCCCAGAACCTGAGCCACCCCCGCCAGGCTATGGCTGGTGGGGGCAAAGGATGCTCAGGCTTGGCTGCTGGTGAGTTTTGACTAAGCTGTGGCAGCTGTTTTCCTCCCCTCACGCCAGACACGCAGCAGAGGGTCACGGCTCAACATCATCATCATTGCTGAGGGCGCCATCGACCGCAGTGGCAAACCCATCTCCTCCAACTATGTGAAGGACGTAAGTGCCTGCTCCAGTAGCTGTTCTGGCACCTGTGGTGACCAGCGGGTCCCCAGCGTGACATCCTCTCTGCTCCACAGCTGGTGGTGCAGCGCTTGGGCTTTGACACGCGGGTCACCGTCCTTGGCCACGTGCAGCGCGGAGGGACCCCATCAGCCTTTGACCGTGTGCTGGTAGGTGTTGGGGGGTGCACAGGGGGGTCAGCCTGTAGAAGGGAGCAGGCAGCTGGGGAACCCCACTTCTGCCTTCCCTCTGCCTGTTGCAAAGGACTTGCCAGCTGGGATGAGGCTCAGACAGTCCCTGCAGGCTTGTCCCCGCTGTGCTGGGCAGAGTAATGCACCCATTTCCCCTCATTTGCTGCAAATTTCACGGGTTTTTAAATAAAACCAGCAGCTATCTGGCCATAAATCAGGCGTGCAAGCAGCTGTGTGGTTTCCAGGCCCATGTGAGCATCCCTGTGCAAGCCCGGGAGAGCATCCCACCTGGCTGGCACGGGTGGCCCTGGTGTCAGGGGCCGGCGGGTCCCCCTTTCCCTTTGCAGAGCAGCAAGATGGGGATGGAGGCAGTGATGGCGCTGCTGGAGGCCACGCCGGACACCCCCGCCTGCGTGGTGAGCCTCTCGGGGAACCAGTCAGTGCGGCTGGCGCTCATGGAGTGCGTCCAGGTGGTGAGTACTGGGGGGATCAGGCATGCCAGCCCGCTGCGTGGGGGTCCTCCTCTCCTCCCCATAAGCACAGGCATCTTGGTGCTGCATCTTTTCCTCCCCCAAGACAAAGGATGTGCAGAAAGCCATGGATGAGAAGAGATTTGAGGAGGCCATCCAGCTCCGCGGGAGGTGAGGAGTGGGGACCGGGTCTTGGGGGAGACATCCCTATAGGGCAGCCAAAAGGATGTGCTGGGATGGGGACTTCTCCCTGAGGGGAAACCAGTGGGTCCTGCAGCCGGGGACAGTCCCCACCCCAAACCCTGCAGTCCAGGCATGCCTTGGGGCCACGCCACCTTGTCCTTGCAGGAGCTTTGAGAACAACTGGAACATCTACAAGCTGTTGGCACACCAGAAGCCAGCGCAGGAGAAGGTGAGGAAGGATGATGAGTGGCAGGGGACAGCATCCCCGCCTTGGGGACACACACCAACGTGCCACCCCTGTCCCTGTCCCCACAGAGCCCCTTCAGCCTGGCCATCCTGAACGTGGGTGCCCCCGCTGCCGGCATGAACGCTGCCGTCAGGTCAGCTGTGCGGATCGGCATCTGCCAGGGACACACCGTCTACGTGGTGAGCGACGGCTTCGAGGGCTTGTCCAAGGGGCAGGTAAGGGGAAGGGTGAGCCTGGGTGCTAGGGGCACAGGTTTGGGCTTGGAGGGGCATGGTAGGGTGCTCCCCCACCCCAAAACTGAGCGCTGCTGCTTGCAGATTCGCGAGGTGGGCTGGCATGACGTGGCGGGCTGGCTGGGACGTGGCGGGTCCATGCTGGGCACCAAGCGGTAAGCACAGCCCCGGGGTGGCTGGGGGATGTAGCAAAGGGGACACCACTGTCCCCAGGGATAGCGGTGACCTCCTGTCCTCACCCTGTGGTCTCCCCTCTCCTGCCTGACACAGGACGCTGCCCAAGACCTGCATGGAAAAGATTGTGGAGAACGTGCGGAAATTCAACATCCAGGGGCTGCTGGTCATCGGGGGGTTCGAGGTGCGGGGGAATCTTCAGCCCCATTTTAGTGGGGGTCGGGGTGGGCTGTCGGCATCCCAGGCGGTGCAGGCACCCTGGGCCATCTCTTTTGGGATGCAGATCCGGCCCCAGGGCCGGCATTTCCCCAGTCCTTGGCTGCTTGCAGGCGTACGAGGGGGTGCTGCAGCTGGTGGAGGCCCGTGGGCAGTACGAGGAGCTCTGCATCATCATGTGCGTCATCCCCGCCACCATCAGCAACAACGTGCCTGGGACTGACTTCAGCCTGGGCTCGGACACAGCCGTCAACGCAGCCATGGAGGTAAGGGACAGGGCAGGGGGCAACTCACAGGGCTGTCCCACTCTGCCAGGACCCATCATGTTTTGGAATGACGTGGGAATGAACCAGCATCCTGTCCTGGGCAGCAAAGGTGGGTTTTCCTGGTGTGAATCCCCCTTCTCCCGGCGCAGAGTTGTGACCGCATCAAGCAGTCAGCCTCGGGCACCAAGCGCCGCGTTTTCATTGTGGAGACGATGGGGGGCTACTGCGGGTACCTGTCGACCGTCACCGGCATCGCAGTGGGTGCCGATGCTGCCTATGTCTACGAAGATCCCTTCCCCATCCACGACCTGAAGGTGAACAGGGCAGGGGGCTGCTTCCTGGCAGCATCATCTGGGTAAAACAAGAAGGAAAACCAGGAAAGAGAGGGGTCTGGGGCAGAGCAGGTTTTGGAGGAGTATGGCCAAGCCCCATGAAGCTGCTGGGTTGACATTAGTGGCACCTGGGTCTGAACAAGAGGACCAGAGGGACCCAGGATGGCTGCCAGCATCCTGGCATTCATCTTGCAGGCCAACGTGGAGCACTTGACTGACAAAATGAAGACAGATATCCAGAGAGGGCTGGTGCTACGGTGAGTTGGGAACCCCTGGGGATGCTTGCTGAAAAACCCAGCCCCATGGTGGGGAGTGAGGCCAGAGCTGAGCCCTTCCCGTGGCCGGAGAGGGTCCCTGGGTGCAGTGGCATTTGGCATGGCAGGTGCACAGGCATCCTGCCTGGGGATGCCACACTTGGCCAGCGGGATAGTCCTGCACTGCGTGTCTCCGCTGCCATCCCCACCCCGGCCCCAGGGTCCTGCTGGGGAGATGGGCCAGGGCTCCTGGCCTCAGGGAGAACAAAACAACAAAAAAACGGTGTTTAGGGGAGCATGGAGGGAGCCCCTGGGGATGCCAGATTAGGGAGCAGCCCCCCAGTCCCTTCTCTCTGCTCCCCCAGCAATGAGAAGTGCCACGAGCACTACACCACCGAGTTCCTCTACAACCTCTACTCCTCCGAGGGCAAAGGCATCTTTGACTGCAGGATTAATGTCCTGGGCCACCTCCAGCAGGTACAGGGACAGGGCCACATGGGCCACTGCTGTCCCCAAGAGCTGGGCAGGCTTGACATCACCATTTCTTTGTCCCCAGGGGGGAGCCCCAACCCCCTTTGACCGCAACTACGGGACCAAGCTGGGCGTGAAGGCGGTGCTGTGGATGTCAGAGAAGCTGCAGGAGGTCTACCGCAAGGGTGAGCCAAGGGCTGGGGGTCCCATGGCGGGATGGGGGGAGGCTGGTGGCACTGGGCAGCCCCTGCTGCTCTGGGCTAAGCCACTTGGCCCCCAGTGAAGTGGCCATGGTCAACTGTGTCCCCCTCCCAGGACGCGTGTTTGCCAACTCGGGTGACTCTGCCTGTGTGATCGGGCTCAGGAAGAAGGTGGTGGCCTTCAGCCCCGTGACAGAGCTCAAGAAAGTCACTGACTTCGAGTAAGTCTCTGTCCCCATGCCCTGCCAGGTCCCAGGGGACCTTCCTGCATTGCCCCTGGGGCCACTTGAGAGCTGTGTCCCCTCCTGTGCAGGCACAGGCTGCCCCAGGAGCAGTGGTGGCTGAACCTGCGGCTGATGCTGAAGATGCTCGCCAACTACCAGATCAGCCTGACTGAGTACATCTCGGGGAAGATGGAGCACGTCACCCGCCGCACGCTCAGCATCGAGAAGGGCTTCTAGTCCTTCTAGCCTGAGCCATAGCCCCCTTCTATGTCCTCTCCCTCCCCACGTGCTGGTCAGGGAGCACCAGGTCCCCCCTGTTCTCAGTAGCCCTGTAGCTTTGCCACTGACCCCTTAATGCAGGCAGAGCCTGGTCCTGGCTCCTAGAACAGCACAATCTTGCCCCACATTGCTGGTCCAGGGTCTGGTCTCTGTGCAGATGTGGAAAAGAGGTGTTGCTAGAGCCCAGCTGCACAGCCCAGACCCTTAATCTTCCCTTAATAGTTTATTCCTATTATTTAACAATGGGGTATCTTGATTCCTTATTTAGCAGCTTGACTGCCTGAGCCAACCGCTGCTTTTAGTTGCCTGCCCTACGTGCGGGAAGGGAGCTGAAGAGGATGCAGTGGTGTCCCGGAGCAGGTAGAGACTGGTCCTGGTGGCTTTTGGCTGCCCCATGAGCCCCAGTAAAGCTCCATCCTCTCGTGGAGTTTGCCTGGTGGGGCATCTTGAGGGCTCAGCACACAGCACTGGTCCTGGCAAGCCCCTCTTCCCTGGCCACCTTGCATGATGCTTGGCTGCGACCGTCACTGCATGGTCCCGGGTGCCATGCCCGTCATCTCACCTCTGCTCTGTGACCCCCCAAATCTTGTACCGTTCGCGGCACTGCTGTCCTCCTCTAGAGATAAAACCTGCTGGAGCCAAACCTGCCTCGGCAGAGTGGTCATAGCGCGCCGAGTACCCACAGGGAGGGAAGCAGGGGCAGACCTGGGGTGAGGATGGGGGGACAGTCCTGGGAACAGAGACAGACAGTTTGCTGGAGCCGGGTTAATTCCAGGCTGTGTTTCCCTGCTTCATGTATCCTCAAAGCCTGGGAGAGTGGGACTGCAGGCGGCCGCTCCCCGGCCGGGCTGCAGCGGGTGCAAGGTCAGCATCCCTCTGTGGGCAGACTTCGTAATCCCAGAGAAAAATTGCTTCTCCCTTGTTCTGGTTCCCACCTTCAAAGAAAGCGCATAAGCGATCTATCAAGGCGATGTGTGTGTTTGTTAATGCAGTTTCTCAGGGCAGCTGCCAAGTGTGCCGGCTCCCGCGTGCAGTGCTCGGGCTTGGCTGAGCTCTGCCGTGCTCGGCTGATGCCAGACAGCTGCATGTAGCCCCTTTCCCAGGCTACTTTCCTCCTGGGGCTTTCAGCTGACAGCTCCAGCCTCTGGGACATCGCCAGCACCAGGATGCATCACAGTCTTTTGGGTCAAACATGCAGTTATTTTTTTCCTCCCCACAGAGTTGTCCCCAAATGATAAGTTCCCCCCTGATTTCAGTGCTTTTCCTCTAGCTGGCCACATTACTTATTTTAGGCTCTGGATGAAGATGATAATTACTGTATCTTCCCTGCCAGAGCTGGACACATGGAGAAATAGTGCTTTCCTTGCTGATGGAGGCAGTATTGCTGCTCCTCCTGGGCGAGTATCTGCTCTGGGGACCCCAGGCAGAGACCTGGCTGCTCCTCCAAGCCAGTGGGCTTTTCCACCATCCTATGTGCCACTTTCAAGGAGCTCCATCCAGCTCCTGAGTGAGAACCCCCCCCCCCATCAGCCATGGACACCTGTGCTGCAGTGGTCCCACACGCCTGACTCACCGTCAGCCTCTGAGAGTCCCCAAGGATGCTTTGAAGGCGAGTTGCGCTGGATTTGCACCCGCAGGCAAACAGCTGCTGGCATTTTACATGACCGGGAAATGTCTGGTCTTGCTGCTCGATATGCCCCACTGAGGCAGGTCAGGGCAAAAGCAGGCAGCACCAAAAAGCCCCGCGGGTGTACTGTAGCCCAGGTGGAGCCTCATGCCCAGATGCAGCTGGCAGGCCCCAGGTGTTTGGCTCCTCTCCAGCATGTGTTTTTCTCCAGCCTGGCACTCTCAGCAGCAGGCAGGACACTGGAGGGGCTGGCACAGCACTACAGCCCTCCAGCAGCCAGGTTTAGGGTGTGAATGGGGAGGGGGTGTCCCCACACTCAGACCAGCTGCACATTTGGATGCACACGGAGACAGGGGGCACTGCAGCCTTAACACCTCATTTCCACCCCAAAAAAAGCCTGGAGTACCAAATTCCTGGAGGAAGACTGACAGGCACAGCCCTACACCCCATGGGGGGCAGCCACCCTGTGCCCTGCCAGGATGAGCAGGAGGGGACGTGGTGACTGTGCACCCAGGCTCCCCAGCACATCCAGCCCAGCTCCAGCTTCCCCCTGTCCCCGAAGAGAGGGCAGAGCACAAAGCCATGAGCATCTCATGGTGAAAGGCAGGCTGCCAGGTCCCCAGAGTGAAGAAGCATGAGCCGAAGGGGCCAGCCTCCCTCTGGGCTGTCAAGAGCGAGCAGGATGCTGTGGGGTCACCCTGCAAGGAGTGGTTGGGAGCATCAAGGGCAGCTTGCCTGGCAGCAGGAGCACCCACACCAGCCAAGTATGATGAGTGCAGCACGTAGGCGGTGAGCTCTGCTCAGGGACAGTCATGCCATCAGGATTAACAGCCCATCTTCTCCAGTGGAGAGAGGAGGAACTGTGCCAGAACAGCCTCGGGCCACGGCAGTTGCTCCATTAACGACCACAAACAAGCCCTGATGACAAACGATGACGCGTGATCACTCTCCTCCCAGAAAAGCTGTGGGGTCCAGCACGCCCAAAAGGCAGCTCCTCTATTCCCTGAAGTGGACAGGCGCAATTTCTGCCACAGAACAGGCTGAGACAGCCTGCGAGAGGACTTGCCCTCAGCACAAGAGCAAGATGCAAACAAGATGACAGATAACTCTCTTGGGCCCTGGCTGTCAAGGGAAGTCTGGTATATTATAAATCACACTGGCCATTTAAATGCAGCTGGGTTTAATGCAGAAGGCAAGAACTAGGTCATTTGAGGAGTTAAAGGCATCAGCAATCTTCACCCAAGTGATAAGGGTCAAACCATGCCCCCTCCCACCAAGGTCAAGTAAACAGGCTTGTGGACACACGGTTGTCACCATCCCCGAGGAGCATTCCTTCCTGGCAGCACAACCCAGCATGCAGGGGGCTCGGACACCTGTACAAACAGGGAGAGCAGGGACACAGAAAGGCCGTGCTGCCCTGCACAACATCGGCATCCGCAGCTGAGCGGCATGGAGGGCTCATGTCCTGTGTCTCAGGGGCCATTGTCCTGCCTGGGCAGGCTTTGCACCTCTGCTTGAGCAAGTGAGTTTTGCTTACCATCTCTTTTGCTTCCTGTGCTCAGTGTGGAGTTGTGGCTGCAAGAAGGTTCCCAAATAGCACAGTGCTTTTGAAAAGCAGCTGCTGCAGCAGCTCGGTACGGTATCAAACAGCACCAGAGGCGAGTGAGCCATTTCACAGGTCCAGTGAAGCGGGAGGGCGTGGGGGCCCACAGCCCTCCTCCTGCTCCGCAGGACTCACAATGCAAGTTGTGAACCAGACATAATGGAGCAATGCCCAGTCAGTTGTTCTCACTATGTTTGCTGAACCCCAGCCACAACTTACATGTCCTAGAGGGATAACTGGTTTTATTTGGTATGTCACAATGTTTTAGTTTGTATTTAACACTTACTATAGTATCTTCGTAAATGCAACTTTTTCAGTTAAAGAGAAATGCCACGCCTGATGCCTGTGCAAACCAGACAGTAACACTTGGCTTGTTTTCTAACTGCAAAACGCACAGGGACTTTTTACTCTGACATGAAGTTTCCTTAAGCTGCTCTAATGCCTGCAAGGGCATGTGGGGATGAGAGTAGAGCTGAGCATTCAGGATCTGGGAGAGAGTAATTTCTGTTTCACCTAGGCTGCACCAAGCTTTTCTTTGGGCTGCCTGACCACCAAGTCAGATGCTGCATGTGCTAACAAGGACCAGAAGTAGTCAAGAGTTGAAGATAAATTAAGAATTTGACATTGACTTTCACAATCTGCACCAGACAGTTCTTGGTGATCGTTTCAGGCAGTATCTCCGCAACAGACTTCACAAAAACAAATCTTTGTGGTAGAAGCCGCCTTCAGAGTCTGCTACACAGAGAGGCTGACAGGGGGTTAGTCTGACAGGGAGCCACCGATAAGCAGTGACCTTTCTAGCCATCAGCAGGCTTTGCCATCCCCCTTCGATTGCACAGCACAGCAGTACCTCTCAATGCAGCCCTGCTCACTTTTGCTTTGCTGATTCCCCTGCAGCTCCCATCAAACAGCCCCGGCGACAAGAGATACAAATGTTAACGGAGCCTGCTATGCAAGCAAGAAAGCTCCCGGAGAGCCAGATCGGGTGCTGCCAGCCCCAGCATGATGTGCACAGCCAGGGGCAATGTCAGGAGCTATAGAGGCAGCCAGCAGCACCCCGTCCCAGCCCCTCCACAGGGGAAGCACAGCAGGAAATGCCGAGGCTTTGGCTGTAGCCAGGTATGTGTGGGAAGAATGGCACTGCAGGTCTGGGGCTGGCTGGTGCTCCAGGGAGGTTTGTAATGGGCACCGTCACTCCTCCTGCAGCTCCTTCTTCTGAAAGGTCTGAAGCCTCCTCCCTACTGTCTGCTGAACGATCTCCAGACCCTCCACGTCCAGTTCCTTCATGAGAAGCAGGATGGCATTCAGGACATTGTTCTGTCAGGATGAGACAGACACTGCTTTATACAAGCATGTTAACGCCAGCCTAGGAAAGGACACTTGATTTTCAAAGAGCTGCTCTTTCTAGGAACTCCACCACCAGCAGAGGTTTGAAACAGCCACCTGCAGCTACAGGGATAGATCAACCAAGCCCTTGGAGCAAACATGGGCAGAGACTGCATGTGACGGGGCTAACTGGAATGCAGGACAAACCCGTCCTCCCAGTCCTACACAGACTGCCCACATGCCTCTGGCTCCTGGCCACCGTCTGAACTGGGCCCATTCAAGAGCAGCCACCCTCCTTCTCCACCATGATCACATGTGATGGGAAAGGACAGGAACCCTCCAGTCTGAGGAATAAGAGCTGGTAGAATCACAAAAGCACAAGCTGGAAGGAACCCTTGAAGG